GTTCTTTTTTTCCGGGTAGGTAATACAGTAATCCTTTTTTTTTTTTTTTTTTTTTTTTCTTTTTTTTCTTTTTTAAGACAGGGTCTCGCTGTGTAGTTCAGTCTGGCCTCAGACTTGGAGCTGTCCTTCTGTTTCAGCCTCCTACAAGCGCCACCATGCCGGGCTTTTGTCTCATACTGCTTTGGGAGGGGGTGCTATTGAGGATTGAACTCAGGACCTTGTGTTTGTGAAGCAGGTGCCAGTACCACCGAGCTAAATCCCTGGCCTTAAACCATTTGTTTTATAACTCTACAAAATGTATCATAACATAGCCAGACATGGTGGTCTATTCCTGTAATCCCAGCAGTCAAGAGCTGAGGCAAGAAGATCACCATAAATTCAAGGCAGCCTTGGCTACATAGTGAGCTGCACTATATAGCAAGAACTTGTCTTTAAATAAGACCCTGTCTCAAGAAAATTTTTAAAAATTAAAAATTTTTTTTAAATAATTAGAAAAATAAAACATCATAGCATCATAAATGTATTTGGGTTAAAAAATACAACCTCCTTAAAAGTTACTATCTTATCAGTGACATTTGTTTTGAAATCATAATTTCAAACATAATTTACCTTTTCTTTTTGTGCCATAAAAGACTCAATGTATAATGTTAAGTGAAAATAAAACTACTACTTTATAAATAAGGTGGTTTATTTACAAATGCTATTTTATAAAAGTCAAGGCAGCTATAACCATTTTTAGAAGAAACAGATATGAGAACAGTGATACAATTATTAAAAAAATATTAATATAAATTTTAAAATTCATATTTCATTACCCCACAGATTTGTCATACTATTCTGAAAAAGTAACCACATAACCAGTTCATGTTTAACACAGTGATGACAGGGCTGTACATAGATGGCTGTCCCGTGCTGCCTCATAGGACAGCCGTGCACACACCACCGGTGCTTTGAGCCACCTGGCAGCAAGACGTGAATGACAGCCCTGTCATGACTGTGGTCAGCAGTCTTGCTTTTGTTAGCATTATACTGCCTGCCCCCATACTGGTGATTAAACCCAGGGCCTTCTCACTGAGCTCCATTCTCTTCTCTTTTTCAAATGTTTTCGAGATGAGGTCTCACTAAGTATGTTGTCCAGGCTGGGGTTGCATTTGTGATCCTCCTGCTTCAGCCTCTCAGAGCACTAGGACTACAGTGTGCACCACCGTGCATGGCTTTTATTGTTTCTTAGTAAATTAGGATTAAATAATTTACCTAATAAAACAAAAAAGACTAGAAGATGGGAACTTGATAATGCTAGGGTTCTTTATCCAAGGCTGATCTAGCCTTTAGACAGACTAAAGCATATTCTGTGGACCCGTGATATATGTAGGGGCCCACAGAACTATTTTCATTTCCTTCTTTTAGAATCAGCAATAATAATTGTGTGTGTGTGTGTGTGTGTGTGTGTGTGTGTGTATGGTTTTGTTTTATTTCTGGGTTTTTGTTTTGTTTTTTTGGTTTTTGGTTTTTGGTTTTTGGTACCAGATATCAAACTCAGGATCTCACGTTTGCCAGGCAGGTGCTGTGCCACTGAGCTAAATCCCTGGCCCAATAATTAGATATTTTTAAGTAATATGCAGTATCATATTGCATTTTTTGCTATAATACAAAGTACAATTTTAATATTTAATAGAGGCTGTGTCCTATAGAAGCATAAGTATTTACTGCCTAGGAAAATCATGATGCAGCTCTACTTACTCCTCTTCAAGGCTCCATTCTTAGTGTGCCTTTCATCAGTTACTCATGCGTTTTTCTTCTCTTATACCGTGACTTTATGAATGCTTACCAATTAACTGCTGTGTTTATTGAAGTATTCTAACATAAAGTACATAAATCAAGTGTGTGTCTGAAACAGTTCCAGATGAAAATAGAAGTAATTTTGGGGGGGAGTGTCGTAGAATTGTGCCCTCAACTTCACAGCTTTTTTATTAACACAAATTCCCTGCTATCTGTGTCAGTGATTGAATTATTAAGTTACAGAAATGTTTCTGCCCACAGCTCGTTGCATTCTGTTTCTCATCATTTGGCTTATAACTGGAGGAAGGCACCACTTTTGGTTCTTGCCTAATCTGACTGCTGATGTGGGCTTCATTGACTCCTTCAGGCCTCTGTACACCCATGAATACAAAGGACCAAAAGCAGACTTAAAAAAAGATGAAAAATCTGAAACCAAAAAACAGCAGAAGTCTGACAGTGAGGAAAAGTCAGACAGTGAGAAAAAGGAAGATGAAGAAGGGAAAGTAGGACCAGGAAGTCAAGGTACAGAAGGCTCAGGTGGAGAACGGCATTCAGACACAGACAGTGATAGGAGGGAAGATGACAGATCCCAACACAGTAGTGGAAATGGGAATGATTTTGAAATGATCACAAAAGAGGAACTGGAGCAGCAAACAGATGGGGATTGTGAAGAGGAGGAGGAAGAAGACAATGATGGAGAAACACCTAAATCTTCACATGAGAAATCATAATCTGACTAACTTGGGGACTGAATAAGTGCAAGAAGTTGGATTTTCTATGTTGGCAGATCATCATAATGTACATGTGGCATTTGTAGCATTCTTCGAGTCCATTCGCTGAAAGCATTTGACAACCAAGCAGTTCTATTCAGTCCTTCATTTTGTAGAGTATTGGTACTATTATTGGTACAGTCTAAAGCCATTAATAAGTTTTATGCATTTGATAATTTTACAGTAAGTAGGTCTCATTTTGATAGTCATCAAAGATGCAATTTCCACAATGACCTTTAGATTAAGGGCATTTTTGATAGTTATATGGCTTTTTACTGTTAGATTAATCAAAATAAAAAGAATAAACTCCAACATTTCAGATTATTCATAGTTTATATAGCCATTTCACAATTTTTAGGTTGAAATATTTAAACTCATTGTTCATACGCTTTTGTTTTTCATTATACAATTATAGAATTTCATTATAAAATTCTACCAGAAATTTCTTAAAGATTCTGAATTAGCAGAGTTCAAAAACGTTTGGTGAAAATAAGCCAGTTAATAATAGCGCAGGAGTATTTTTGGTTTAGCTACAAATTCTCCTTTCCAACTTAGGAAATCCAAGTCGAATTGTACGCTTGATTCAGAGAAAGATGATCATCTCCAGCAGGAAAGCGAACAGCATTGGTTGGAAGGTGATGGCTCTTTTTCCCCATCTTCTTGTCTTAGCATAAAGTGTATTCTGTACATAATTTACAAATAAAACATTTTATTTTAATGGTTACTTATTATGTAGACATTTCTCAACACTTAAATTTGTAAAGTTACGATCATGTAAGGTTGTTTTTAGAGAAATGGAAGTTTCGATAACCCATGGAACATCTGTAATCTTTCTACAGCAGCTTCAGTTTTGTGCCAACATTCCATGTATTTGAATATAAGTAAAAATTGATCCTTATCAATAAGAGCAGACTTAAAAGTAGCTGTTTGTACTCCTTAATGTTCATTTGATTTATTTTAAATCTTTGCATTCAGAAATGGGTACTGTATTTTCAGACCAGAGGCACTGCTGTGAAAAGTAATTTACTGTTCTAAAATATCAATTTAAAATAAAGGCTATAAAAGAAAACCTAGAGAACCATTGGACTCTTAATTGCTTCAAACTGATTTTGCAGTTTGATTTTTGTCTTGGAAAGTATAGTTAACAAATCTTAGGAAAATCTTGTTTACTTACAAGCATAATCATTCGCTGGAGTTAAACTCTACGTACTGATAGTGAATATTAAATGATTTTCCTTGAGTCACAGTGAGAGTATTTTGCTTTGTAGTTGAAATAATTGGAGTATGTAGTCTTTTTCTTTGGGCTGTTTACCATCTAGGTGTTGGACTAAAAGTGTTATATTCTTCTAACTGAAAAAATACATTGACGCATCTTACTAAACATGGCTCAGTTACTTCTTCGTCATATTCTCTATAAGTGGATCGAAATGTGGCTATTTGATGTTAAAGCAGGTCTGTGAAGGCTACAATCATTTTGAGTTTTCTCTAAGCAACTGTTCATTGATTTTAGTGCCTGGGTACTTTCCCCTCACATTTGCAGAATCTCCAGTGTGGTTATGTGTAACAGCAGCCTTTGCGCTTCTTCATCGCCAGTAACAATAATAATACTTACTTTGGAATGTGAATGTGGTACCAGAAGTGTTTTTCAGAAATAAAAGTGATTTTGTTAACCTTTACTGTTATGAAATGCCTAGACACCTGATAGTTACCCTGAAATTCTTTATCTGATATGTATGTATTCTGTCTAGTCTTAAAGATAATGTGCAGCATGGCAGTCATGAAAGTCAGCTGCTTACTGATGTGTGTGGATTCTTAACAGAATATTGGTATCCTTTTTATAATTATTTGGTGATCCCTCAGGGGAGATATTCTTATGTGGTTAGAAAGTGAGTTAGGAATTTCAGCTTAATGTCTGTTGTACTCTTCAAGGTTGTATACTTTAAACAAATATAAAAATCAAAATGCTGCCTCTGTTGCAGTCATCAGAAGAAGGGGTGGCTATCTTTGTTGGTTAACATTAAAGATCCTGTGTCAAAGCATGGAGAATTCATTATAGTAATCAATACAGTGGAGGTTTTTTAAAAATTAAGAATTTTCTATGAATAAATCTTTTAGGTAATATAGGATTTATTGTGGAGTGGTTATAAAATGGCCTAACTAAACTCTAAACCCAAAACCAAAGTCCAGATGGTAAGAATAATGCAGATATAAATGTTCTTAAAGTCAACATATTAAGTATGTTGCTTTTCTTTTTCCTTCCCACTAAATTCTTTAATTTTCAAGCGATAAAGCCTTCTAGATGATGTAAATTGAACAATTTAGGTGAGTACTATTCCAAAAGTAATAACTTTTAATACATAATATTAAAATTGTACAGTGATGAGGGATTTTGGTGTTTCTTCCCTCTTTCTGGTTTTACATTATGAGTACCAGTTAATTGTGAACTTGAAAAATGATATGTTTTGTAAACAATTTTTTCTTTGTTAGAAACGGAAAACTGCATCTACAGTTGGTTCTTGTTATTTGCTATAATTCTATGAAGTTGTTGTGGACATTGAATTAACAAACACTGAACCACTGCACCTAGGGGAAATGTAACCCTAGGTGTCTGCAAGCCTTTGGTTGCGAAGTAATATGTATACTTTTTTGGGTTTTTGGTTTTTTTTTTTTTTTTTTTGTA